TGTCCCCCAAACCTCCTTGCATCCTCCCTGGAGCCTGGTGCCTAGTGACTTGATTGATTTAGCCTCAAGCATGAGGATTCAGCCTCAGCATCCTATCAGGAATCGGGCTGCTTTAGAAAAGGCACTTACTTTCTTCTCAGATTCAACAAGTTCTATTCGGTTGGAGCAAAAGTAATTGCGATTTTTGCCACAACATGATGAAGTAGAATGTGGGAAACTAATTCTCAGAGAATACAACTCTACTTCTTAGCTGCAATCCAATAGTCCCCATGTACTAAAACAAGCTTACCTGAAACTTTTCCTTACACCCTATTCCCACCAAACCCTGCACCAAATGCAGTCCAAACACCCATCCTTGGCTCTCTGTCACCTCCTAGGGCTGGCCTGCCTGACACCCTATCCTTCCGACACTGTCCCCACCTCCGCACACATGTACGCTCTCCCACAGTGACTTGACTCTGTATTTTGGTCCCTATCACAGTCTTCACAATCAAATTTTAAGTGAAGTTAACCTTTGAAGCTCAATGGCACAGCCCCATCATAACTAGACAGAGAGATGACCACACATGAAACAGTGCTGGCCACTGGGCCAGCCATCCCGCTTCACACACTTGGGCCCCAGAGTGCGCATGAGATTGGAAAGGAGGACCTGCACTGCCCTCACCAGGCCTTCATCTGATCAGGCCTCTGATGGTGTCAGCATCTCACCACACTGAATGTGCATCGAGTGTTTTAAAGACCTGCATTTTTTTTCCCCATTCATTTATTTTATTGCATTTTAGGTTTTAGGGTACATGTGAAGAACATGCAAAATTGTTGCATAGGTACACACGTGGCAGTGTGATTTGCTGCCTTCCTCTCCATCACCTACATCTGGCATTTCTCCCCTTGCTATCTCTCCCCAGTTCCCCACCCCCCACCGTCCCTCCCCTATTTCCCCCCAACTGACCCCAGTGTGTAGTGCTCCCCTCCCTGTGTCCATGTGTTCTCTTTGTTCAACACCCGACTATGAGTGAGAACATGCGGTGTTTGATCTTCTGCTCTTGTGTCAGTTTGCTGAGAATGATGGTTTCCAGGTTCAACCATGTCCCTACAAAGGACCCAAAAGACCTGCATTTTTCATACAGTGTAGCCTTAAGGTATTGGACTTCACCTGGTACAAGACCCATGAAGTGATAATAAGGGAAATTTCTATAAGTGATTTTCACTTGACCTCTGAGTCGCATGAGACTCATAGGGATTGCCTCTTCCTTTTGCTTTCCCTGTACTCTTCCTCTCCTTCACCTGGGTCATGCCTTGTCCTCCCTCTCTGTGAATCTAAATCCTACCCAACCTTCAATGTCCAACTCAAATGTGGTCTTCTCCAATAAACTTTCTTTCATTCCCCAAGTAATGACTCCAGACTCTTAACTCCCATTAAAACCTCTCCTTTGGCATATAGTTAGAATATCTTATTTCATGGATGTTTGAATATGTCTTTTACCTACTATTTAATCACAGACTGGAAGGCTTTTGAGAGCACAGATCTTATCTTATAATCTCTCCCTTTCAAGGTTTTGGGAATTAAATGAGAAAATGTAATCCAACGGCCTCTATGATGTCTGGCATATAGTATATTCTCAATAAATGTCAGTTCATTTCCCTCTTACACATCTTTCCATCTCCAAAGCATTTTGCAAAGTCTCTTGAATCGTCTAGCTGCCTAATAAATGTTAAATACATGAATCAATGCATAGAAATGGTAATATTTCAACTGCTTTCATAAGGTCAATGAGTACAGTTCAGACATTTCCACTTTTCTCCCACAACTCCTGAATTTGTGGGCCCATAAAGATTATTTCTGTTCCACACCTCTGAAGCTGAAAGCGATATCGTGATCCTGGAGGTACACAGCGGAAGACTGACAGCGTCACCCAGCAGTGAGTCCAGAAGCAATCATCTAGGGCCTCCAGAACTGGCTGGACAAAATCAGGCAGCAGCCCAGCCAGCCTCTAAGCTATTTAACTAATTTAGTCTTTATAAAGAAGTAGTGTGCAATGAATCCTTATTTTTGCACTCATCTCATATTCTTTCATTAATTTCTAATATTTTTATGTTCATATAACAGGTATGTACTGCATCGTGTAAAGCACCACTTTGCTTAGCAAATTTAAATCCTCAGAGGTGAAACCCAACCAGCATGCCAGTAAGTTCGAACACAGTTGGCACCTTCTGATGCTGTCAGTAATTCGGAGCTGAACAAATTCTAGTTGTTTCTGAGATGAAGTGGCAGCGGACAGATATAAGAGGACTCCTCCTTCATCCCTACTCCTAACACCATGGGACCTATTCATGCATTCTTCTTGAAAGCGAGAATGAAGAGTCCAAAAACTCCACAGGCTGGCTGGTCACTCCAGAGTCTTTCAGCTAAACCTTTGGATGGAGCAGGCCTTGCCCTCAGCATTGGGTTACCTTTGTTTATGTTCACAGAAAGAAAAGCCAGCCCAGAGCCCGAGACCCCCCTGGCAGAGGCCTGATTTCACACACATTTTCCCCAGATTCCTATTGGCTTGGCTGGAAACCACATATTAAAACCCACCAATCTTTCCACTTGAGCCTGATGAAAGCTTCACCAGAAACAGCTGCACTTCACATGTGGTTTAAGTTAATATCTTATCCCGATGGTTTAACTCTAGCTGGCTGGGCTGCTTTTTTAATATTCACAATCCTCTTTTGTTTCACATTAAGAATATGTCTTTCATTACTCGACAGAGCTGAGGGACACAATGAAGCTGGTAGCACTTCATTTTTGAAATGTCTGAAATAATTGTTTGTATTGTGAGTTGCCCAAGGACCACTCCAGGTTGGCTATCTGAGACGCATACAAAAGTGTTAAAAACCTTAACATGAACGTTGCTAGACCTGTGTGGAACATTTTCCTATTAAAAAAGTAAGGCCACACGCTAATGGCTCAGATTTCATTTCTAAATCCCAGAGCTCGTTGAGTCAAGCAACATGATAAGTTCATTGCTTTGTCTCTTCCAGCGGCTCTCAAAACCACCCCATCCCTTCAGCATGTAGGAAAGTATAATCAATATGTGGCTGATTTCACACACAGGCATGCCACACACATTCGCACGTTCTTGCTTCATCTCCATACTGGGCATGATTAACTTTTAAGTTCATAGAAACTGTGCAACTCTGGTTTCCCTGGCAAAATGCACATCGGGTTCTAGAGGTTTTGCCCTAGCAGCTCCTCCTCCCAGGATGTGATGTCAGCTAGGGGCATCTCCACTGCGTGACATCATTTGTTGTGCAATGGTGAGTTTGAGGTGCTGGGAATATTCTGCAGATTTCCACCTGTCTAGCACTTGCCTAAAAAAGGTCAAGACTGGAAAGACTTCAACAAGCCCCTTTTGTACTTCTTAGTCATTAAGATATGGCTGTATTTTTTGATGAATCTTGAATTTTTTCCCTTATTTCTGTGTTTCATCCATGATTTGGAAGGAGGAGGAGGAGGAGGAGGGGGAGGAGGAGGAGGAGAGGGAGGGGAAGGAGGAAGAAGAGGAGAATTATTGCTGACCATTAATGAGTATTTTCATATGTGTAGAGCAGCTTGCTCTGCATGCTAGCTAAGTTAAGCCTCACGACAAACCTATCAGTGAAGTACTATCATCATCCCTGTTTTATAGGAGAAGCTGAAGCACAGAAAAGTTAAATAACAAGGTAACATGGATAATAAGTTATTATAGCAGAGACCACTCGTTAACCCCAATATCATTTTTCCCGTTCTTCTCCAGTCATAGAACTTCAGAAATCAGAATCGTATTGATTACTATTGGCTGAGCAGATAGCCACCCAAATAAAGATTATGAAATAGGCAGAATTCTAAATGGTCCCCAAGATTCCTACCCCTGGTGTATATACCCTTTAAACCCCTTTCTCTTGAGTACAATTGGGCTGGTAATAGGATGAAATGATCGCTCCCTTAGATTAGGCTGTATTATATGACAGCAGTAAAGGGATGTTACAGATGGAGTTAAGGTCCCACATCATTTGTCTTTGAGTCAGTCAAAAGGCAGATGACTCTGGATGGGCCTGGTCTAATCAGGTGAGCCCTTAAAAGAAACTGGGCCTTTGCTGAAGAGAAAGATTCAAAGGAATGTTCTTGCTGGCCTTGAAGATGCAATGCCTTGTTGTGGAAAGGGGCCACAGGGCAGGGACTAGCAGGCAGCCTCTAGGAGCTGGGAACGGACTCACTGACAGTCAGCAAGAAAGTGGGACCTCAGTGCTGCAATCACAAGGAACTAAATCCTGCCCATAACCAGGGATCTTGGACAAGCATCCTGAGCCTCAGATGAGATCATAGCCCTGGATGACATTTTGATTGCAGCCTGATAAGACACAGAGCAAAGGACAAGCACTCCTGATCCCCAGAAACTGAGAGATAATAAAGTTGTGTCATTTAAACCACTGAGTCTATGCTCATCTGGTATACAGCAATACAAACCAATGCAGGTTACACTTCCCATTTGCCTTTGCAGTTGGTGTCGCCCTGTGAGCAGCTTCCCTTCTGTGCCTTCCCTTCCCTACATCCTTTTTCTTCTGGTAGGATTATGGTTGTAGGAAGGCACCTAAAACATAGAGGTGAGAGAAACACCCTGAAGATGGTGAAGCCACAAGACAAGAAGAGCCTGGATCCCACAGATTTTAGGATTGCCATATCAGTCCTGAACTGCTTACACCCACACTGTTATGTGATCATGAAATAAACGTCCATCTTGCTTGTTGAAGGCATTCTTACTTGGTGTTTGTGCTACAGGAGTTGAACTTACCCCAACCTAACTGGCAGAGCTCAAAATGGACCCAGGTAGTGTGACCCCAGAGCCCATTAGCTTAGCTCCTTCACCACCCTGCCTCCCAGCCACCACATTGCATCACAGCCAAATTGGAATTTTACACTGTTAGAGCTTGATGGGATTGTACTGGTCAAGTCAGTCAAACCAGTCAAGTGGACAAGAAAGAGGGACTCAGATCACTTGGAATTATGGCAATGTATTGCAAGGATACCTATGAAAATGGGGGATCACGAGAAGTTGAACTTTGCATCCCAGTTCTGAAACATGCAGCGACCTCATGGAGACAGATTCATCACTCGGCATTTTGGGGCGGTAGCAAGTTCAAGTGACCTGCCAGATTTCTTAGCATTAACTTGAAAGATAACATACTTGTTTGATTTCATTTGATTTGATTTGATTTGATTTCTACTAGTCAAATGGGCACATTGATTAGGCTGACTCTCCCCCAGGAACCCTGGGAGCCTATGACATCCCTTATGTCCAAACAAGACACAGCCCCTCTGTGGCCTCAGCATATTTGCCCAGTCCAATCAGCTATAGCCAGAACAGAAAGGTTGGTTTCCCTCCACCCACGAGCCATGCCATACCTGGCATGCATGTGAATAATGATCTGAGCTGTGTCATCTGGTGGAGATGATGCTCACAGCTCTGCTCCATTTTCTGGGACACGAGCAGACCCTCATTTTAGGAAGGAATACCCAAGACAGGGAAGTAGATTTGCCCAGGCAGCAGCAGCCTGCTACTTCCCTGCTAACCAGGGCAGAGGCTGGCCTGCCCCCCTACCTGGATGGCCCCTGCTGTCATGGCTTTTCTGCTTCTAGAAGCCATCCCTGAGGTCAGCTGAATTTAGACCTACGGTATCTCCAGTACAGCACTTTGTCATCTGTTTGTGATAATAGTTTTCAAATTCTTGTCATTTCCTGTAGAACATCATTGCAGAACTCAAAACACATTGCATCATACAAAATGAAGTGGAGAATTAAGGCAATTATCCAATTATTAAAAACCATTTCTCATTGGAATCACTAAAAAACTCTTCAAGTCTCCATTTTACACGTGTTGCTCTGATGTGAATTTGACCCTGGCATACCTGCTTTCCAGTAAAGTCCAAAATCCAAAATAGCCCAATGGAGAGAACCCCTCCCAGTATCCACAGCCTCCGTAATAAAGCTGCTTATCAGATCTCACTTAAATCTTTCTTGAAACAACTTAAGTCCTTCTGTGCCATCCTCTGCAAGTGCAGAACAGCCAGGGTGCAGGTTGCAGGGTGTGGGGGGATTATTACAGTGAAATCGGCACACAGATCTCAAGATTAAAGTTTGCTATTTCTCCAGACTGTGTAGGTGACTGCCTTTTGAAATCACACATGGCTTATACTGCCATTCATGTAATTTAAGAAAAAAATTGAATAAAAGTATAAAGGAAAACCAGCAGTGTTTTAAGAGATTTCATTTCTACCTGAAGCCTGTACTCATTTGCAGGGAGGCAGGAGGAGGGCTTGTATTATACAGGGTCTCTGGAAACACTTAAATTTCAGAAAGACCCACGACCCCAATCCAAGCTTCTAGACAGAAGAGAGAGGATGCAAAGGCAAAACCCTCCCCTTTCTTTTTTCACATCACATTGGGGTGAGTGGTTTGCCCCTCCATGTCCAGTCTTTACCACTCTGCCTCGGAGGCTGGCACACCCCCAAAGCATCGAGGTTCCCTGCCCTCTGGCTTCTGATTGAGATCGACCGATGGGCAGTGTGATCATTAATTTTAATGTATCAGCTTGGTCGGACACAGTACACAGATACACGGTTGAACATTATTCTACATGGTTCTATGAAGCTGTTTTGTGGATGAGAATAACATTTAAATCAGCGGACTTGAAGCAGAATACCCTACCTAAGCGGGGTGAGCTTTATACAATCTGTGGAAGATCTTCATAGAACAAAGACTGACCTCCCCCTGAGCAAGCAGGAATTCTGCCAGCAGACAGCCTTTGAACTTAAACTGCGAATGTTCCCTGAGTCTCCAGCCTCACAGCCTACCCCATCAGTCTTCAGACTCACCACGCCTCCACAATCCCATGAGCCAGTTCCTTATATATACGAATGGATCTCTCTCTCTTTCTCTCTCTGTCTCTCTGTCCCTCTGTCTGTCACACACACACACACACACACACACACACACACCACCACTACCACAGTGGTTCTGTTTCTCCAAAGAACCCTGACTAGTACAGGCAGCAACGCTAGGAAATCAGACCAGATGGAGAAAGGAAAGCAAGTACTCATCTCCTAGCTCCTCCCCTGTGGGGTCTGCAAACAGCCCCAGCCTTCTCAGGGTAAAGGAGTCACGCCCTCTTCTCACACCCTCAGGCCTGCAGGTGATAGCTGCACTCTCTTTTCTTAAATCCAGGGACTGCACTAACCCTGAACGGTTTCCCTACACCATGCTCACCCCTTTACAAATGATCCTCTCATTAACTTCTCCTCAATTGATTCTACAATGAGTCTCCTGGAACCTTGACTAACACAAGTGTCATTAGAATGCGGGGCCCTTTGCCCACTTTTGAATGGGCTTGTTAGTTTTTTTCTTGGAAAATGTGGCACATATACACCATGGAATACTATGCAGCCATCAAAAACGATGAGTTTGGGTCCTTTGTAGGGACATGGATGAACCTGGAAACCATCATTCTCAGCAAACTGACAGAAGAGCAGAAGATCAAACACCGCATGTTCTCACTCATAGGCGGGTGTTGAACAATGAGAACACATGGACACAGGGAGGGGAGCACTACACACTGGGGTCAGTTTGGGGGGAAATAGGGGAGGGACGGTGGGGGGTGGGAAGCTGGGGAGAGATAGCAAGGGGAGAAATGCCAGATGTAGGTGATGGGGAGGAAGGCAGCAAATCACACTGCCAAGTGTGTTCCTATGCAACAATTTTGCATGTTCTTCACATGTACCCCCAAACCTAAAATGCAATAAAATAAATGGGAAAAATAAAAATAAAAATAAAAAAAAAAAAAGAATGCGGGGCCCATGGCAAAGTTGATGTGGCATTCAGGGCCTTTCCTGTCTGACCTCAACCTCCCCTTCCAGGGTCTTTTTCCACCATATTCACTCACTCCAAAGACACACAAAAACATACAATAACATACTCAATATTGTCACCAGACTGCGGCTCTCCCCAACAGAGCACCCCCACTCCAATGCCTCTGTCACTCTCTCCAGGTGTCAGCACCCCACAGTGCCCTGTGCACATTACCAAACAACCACAGACTAGTAATTTAAAAATGAACAAGAGGGCTGGGTGTAGTAGCTCACACCTGTAATCCCAGCACTTTGGGAGACCAAGGTGGGTGGATCACCTGAGGTCAGAAGTGTGAGACCGGCCTGACCAACATGGTGAAATCCCGTCTCTACTGAAAATACAAAAATTAGCCAGGTTTGGTGGTGAGCACCTGTAATCCCGGTTACTCGGGAGGCTGAGGCAGGAGAATTGCTTTAACCCAGGAGGTGGAGGTTGCAATGAGCCAAGATTGTGCCGCTACACCCCAATCTGGGCACCAGAGTGAGACTCTGTCTCAAAAAAAAAAAAAAAAAAAAATGAGTAAGACCTGGGAACCACTGCCCATTGTGGCTCTGTGCTATTTCAGCACATCCCCCAACATTGGTTCTGTAATCATCTATCCTCCATCTCATCAACCAGTCAGCGGGGTTTGTTTATTTGTTGTCATTGTTCAACCCAAGTCCGCTTCGTCCCCAATAGTCATATTTGGAGCCAAGCTGTTAGGGTATTCAGCAAGGTGTAGGAATCTGCTGATGTAAGCAATTGCTTCACTTTGTTTTCATACTACATGCTGGAGAATGTCTGAGCAGGTATGACAGTTTTTGTTTTGTTTTTTTGCGTGTTTAAATTGCCTAAGACTGGCCAACATCTTTGTTTTAAAAATAAATAATAAATATCACAGGCAAAAATGAAGAACTGTATAGGTTTTAGTAAAAATCATGCTTATGTCTTCTTTCCTTCTGGATTTTCCTACATTGTGTTAAAAAGAGGAACACACTTTTTTCAGCCTGACACTGCGTCCACCACAGAAATAATGAAAAGCAATGAAAAATGGAAATGAGCAACATGACAAAACCAGTCCCCCTGAGGTTTTAGCTAAAAGAGCAAAAAGGAACAAGTAGAACCGAGGCTGTAGCAGCACCTACAATTAGCATAAGCAGCATCAATAAGGTGTCAAGGTATCAGAATTAATGAGCCCCAGGTCAGCCACCCAGGCAATGGCCACAAAGACCAAACACACAAGAAAGTCCCACAGAAGGGAGGCTGGTGGTCAGACAATAGATTCTGAGATTTTAAAAGGGGAAGGAGAAAGCAATGAGACTACTGAAAGTTAGACAGTTAGATAGCACATACACATATTCAAATACAGGCACATCGGGTTTTATTGCACGTTATTTTATTGTACTTCTCAAATATTGCACTTTCTACAAACAGATAATTTGTGGCAATCCTGCTTTGAGCAAGTCCATCAGCACCATTTTTTCAACAGCATGTGCTCACCTCCTATCTCTGTGTCACATTTTGGTAAATCTCACAATATTTCAAACAAGTTGTTATTATTTTGCCTGTTATGTTGATCTGCACTCAGTGATCTTTGATGCTTCTACTGTAATTTTTTTGGGGGGAGAGCGCCATGAACCGTGCTCACACAAGACGGAGAGCTTAACATGTGTGTTCTGATTGCTCCACTGACCAGCTGTTCCTCTGTCTCTCCCATTCTCCTCGGGCCTCCCTAAATTCTGAAACACAGCAATACTGAAGGTAGGATAATTAATTACCCTATAATGACCTCCAAGTGTTCAAGTGAAAGGAAGTATCTCACATCTCTCACTTTAAATCAAAAGATAGAAATGATTACAATTAGTGAGAAGGGCATGTCAAAAGCTGAGAAAGGCCTCTTGCACCAAACAGTCAAATCGCGAATGCAAAGGAAAAATTCTGGAAAAAAATTAAAAGTGGTACTCCAGTGAACACATGAATGAGAAGAAAGCTAACAGCTTTATTGCTGATAGAGAAAGTCTTAGTGATCTGGATAGAAAAATCAAACTAGCCACAACATTCCTTTAAGTCAAAGGAGGCAATCCGGAGCAAGACCCTAACTCTCTTCAATTCTGTGAAGGCTGAAAGAGGCGAGGAACCTGCAGAAGAGAAATGAGAAGGTAGCAAAGATTCATGAGATTAAAGGAAAGACGCTGTCTCCATAACATACCAGTGCAAGGTGACACAGCAAGTGCTGAAGGAGACGCTGCAGCAAGTTTTCCAGGGGATCTGGCTCAGGTCATCATGTTCACTAAACAAAGATTTTCAAGGGAAGTGTAACAGCCTTCAAATGGAAGATAATCTCATTAGGACTTTCATAGCTAGAGAGCAGAAGTCAATGCCTGGCCTCACAGCTTCAAAGGACAGGCTGCTCTCTTGTTAGGGGCTAATGCAGCTGGTGATCTTAAGTTGAAGCCAATGCTCATTTACCATTCCTAGGAACCCTAAGAATTATGATAATTCCACTCTGCCTGTGCTCTATAAATGGAATGACACATTCCATTTGTGTGCTGGGTGACAACACGTTTGCTGACAGCATGGTTTACTAAATATTTTAAGCCCACTGTTGAGAACTGTTCAGAAAAAAAAGATTCCTTTTAAGATGTTATTTCTCATTGACAATACACCTGGTCACCCAACATGTCTGCTGGAGATGTTAAAGGAGATTAATCTTGTTTTCATGCCTTCTAACACCGCATCCATTCTGTAGACCCTGAAGCAAGGAATAATTTCTACTTCAAGTCTAATGATTTAATAAATAAAATTATGTAAGTCTATACCTGCCATAGATAGTGATTCCTTAGATGGCTCTGGACAAAGTAAATTGAAAACTGGAAAGGATTCACCATTGTAGATGCCATTAAGAACAGCTGTGATCCATGGAAAGAGGTGAAAATATCAATATGAACAGGAG